CTTCTCCATGGCACCCTTCCTGGTCTCATTTGTACCTTTTCACCTCTTAAGTTATGTGAATAGTTTTTGTTTTCAGTGGATCGGTTCCCATTCATGATCACCTCATGTATCAGAGTAGAAGTATGCATAATAGATCTTTTTAATGACTGTTGTTTCTAAAGTTACTAGCCAGGCCTTTCTTTGGCAGAGCCCATGGGTGAACCTGAACTTCTAATCCTTAGGTTAAAAGGCAAGTATGTTAGTCATTTGCATCACTCAGGGACTTTATTTCTGCCTTGGATATAACATGTACAGATGCTTGTCTTCTCCTATAAATATGTGTGCCTGTCTCTCTCCTACTGAGTTATGAATGCCTTGAAGATGAAGACCAGACTTTACTCCTCTTTATGTGGTCACAGCTTCCTGCATAACATGACTCAAATCAGTCAGTGTTTCCCTGAGCTAAACCACATTGCTCTTGAAATGGTAGATTTTACAAAGGAACCCTCCTTACTCACTCTTGGCTCACTTGGACAGAGATTCCTCCTTGCCTGGTGAAGACTCAATTTCATCGTCTGGAGACTGGAAGGATTGAATTAGGATTGATCTTGTTAGGCTTTCTGTGATTCCTTCCATCTGGAGGGAGATAGGTGTCATGTGGACAGCACATGGATGGATCATTATGGTTGTTGCTGTTGTGTATCATCGAGTTGCAACCAACCCATAGCTGACCCTCCAGTGAGTTTTCAAAGGCAGTTAATCGCACAGGAGGAGGTTGCCCACCCTTCTTCCAGGGAGCAGCTGGTGGATTCTAACCACATGCCTTCGGGATTGCAGTGCAGCTTCTTGCCACTAGGCCACCAGAGCTAGTGATGTGTAAATATAGGTTTGTTATTGTCTGGTGCATACTGTAGGCTGGGCCAAGTGGATACTGATAATTAGTGTAGTTAGGCAACAGCACCTGCTTTGTTTGCTCTGGTACACTGGTCACCTAGACACCATGCAACATTCATGGGAAGGAACTGGACCCTTATTGTAGTGGAATCCTGACATGTGTACTCAGTTTGATGGACTAGAGACTCTAATACTAAGCTAGATTGTAGAGGTAGATCATGGTACCTTGTAAAAACAAAATCAGGGATATGTAATCAAGAGAGATTCATTTCTGAAGAAAGACATCTTACTAAATCAGCGAAAATGCAGAAGATGAGATAGACTGATACCTGGTTGCAAAAATAGGCTCAAATGTTGCAACAGTTCTGAAGACAGCACAAAACCAGACAGCATTCCTTCTAGGTGAGTCTGTCTTCTACTGTGCATAGGGTCACTCTGAGTCAGAACTGAATTGATCATACCTATTGTATTGGGAAAGTCAAGGACTTCACCATGTATTAAGGAGCAATGGCATCAGTTTAAAGACTAAGGTGTACCTGATTTTGATCTGTAAGTTGCACAGTTAATAAGGATGACAGAAAAATAATCAATGCTTTTGAGTTGTGGTTTTGGGGAAAAGTACTGAATTTCCCATGAAGAAACAAATATGTTTTGTAGAAAGTGCAACCAGGGTGCTCCTTAGAGGCAAGGATGGCAAAACTTCATCTTATACTTTGGTCATGTTGTTAGGTGGGGCCATTTTTGGGGGGTAAAAAATTATGCTTGAAAAGGTGGAGGAGTCAACAAAAGAGAGGAGGACCTTATGAGATGGGTTGACACAGTGATTGTAACAAATACTGTTGTAGGTGCCTAGTGCCGTTGAGTTGAATACGACTGTGAACAACAGGTTTGAACCCTATCCTATCTTTTACCATCCTCATAGTTTCTGAACTATTCGAGCCCATTGCAGCAGTTACTGTGTCAAAACATCTCGTCCAAGGTCATCCTAGCTTTCACTGACCTTTCCAAGCATGATGTCCTTTTCTAAGGACCAGCCCGTCCTAACAACATGCTCAAAGGATTTATGACGAAACCTTGTCATCTTTGCCTCTAAGAAGCACTCTGGCTGCACTTTCTCCAAGACTTACCTGTTTGTTCTTTTGGCAGTAGATGGAATATTCAGTACTCTTCTCCAACACTAGAGCTCAAAGACATCAATTCTTTTTCTGTAATCTTTACTCATTGTCCAGCTCTCTGAAACATAACAAGTAATTGAAAAGACCACGACCTGATCAGGTGCACATCACTGCTTCTCAGTAATTTGGACCAGTGCCTGATTGCAGACTTTCCCAATGAGATACACATCTCTTGATCTCCTGACATCTGATACTAAGGGTATTGATTGTGGATCCAAACAAGATAAAGCTGTTGACAGTTTTAGTCTTTTCTCCACCTATCATGATGTTGCCTAGAGTGTAAGAATAGACACACGTATATCAGAGATGATGAGGATGGCAAACGATAGGGCAAGGCTCAGATCCATTGTTCACAGAGTTGCTATGAGTTGTGGTCAACTCAGTGTCACCTAACAACAACAGAAGTGTGGAGGAGTGGTGGTGCAGGTGCCTGGCCAGCCCTACCCTCTGCTTCCTGCAAAGGTAAGGATTGGTGTACAGAAAGAGAAATGGATCATGAGGGATCCTTGAGGGAATCCCTTCTGAATACCACCAGGCAGGATAGCCGGGGCTTTCTTCTGTCCAGAAAATGGCCAAGAACCTCAGGAGTTAGTGACCATGAGAAGATCAGTAGTGGAATAGAAGAAAAGGTCTAGAGTGTACTTCAATCCCTGTCTTCACTCCTGCATGCCAATTAGAGAGTAAATCTGGGTGCTTATGGAGAACAGCTCCTGACAAGGGTCTTCTGGATAAGAATGCCCTTTCTTGTTCTATTATTTATTTGTTTATTTTATTTATTATTTATTTCTTATTCTATTATTTATTTGTTCTCTTATTGTTATGTGTTGTCAAGTCAGAAGCCACCTGTAGATGCCTCTTCAGGGTGTTTCCAGAGGCTGTAAATCGTACTGTAGGAGACTCCCCATCTCTCTCCCTCCAAGCAGCTGGTGGACTTTTTGTCTTAGGGGATCTATTTTTGCAATATGATTGACTGGGCGAGCTGAGACTGTTCAGGGAGAAACCCAGAGGCTTCTCTAAGATCTGCGTGGAACTGGAACTGGAATCCTGTGACGATCTAAGCCTGCTCCTCTCCTTGGCCTTTCTTCCTGCTGCCCTGAGCTGGTCTTCCTCCTTCCCCGTCTGCTTCCTGCAGTCTCTTCTCCATGATGTTTCTTCTGCAGACTTGACTTCCCTGATTCTTTGTTGAAGAATTCTCTGAAATGTTGCCTCTTCCTCTGGCTGCCTTTGCATCAGTTTCCATTTCTAATTTTTTGAGAGAGATGTCTGAACAACCCAGCCAGGCCGTGGTGAGATTCCAGTTTTGTGGGTGTCCAGAGGGAGGAGCAAAAGGACGAGACACCGAATGTGACTGTGAGTGGACGAGCCCCTTGGGAGGAGCTGCACCATCTTGGCAGTCTCTCCTGTGCTCAAGTCCGTCGTCATTTCAGTCCCGTATTAATCTGTCTAGTTGATGATCTTCCTCTCTTTTGCTGATCCTCTACTTTTCTGAGCTTGAATCATGTTTTGTTTGGGTTAATAAGGTCATTTGCAGGATCTGAGACTGGTTTGGGATTTTAGCAGGTCAGGGTGGACTCCTGCCTTGTCAGTGTCCTCTGTGACCAAGGACAGCAGCCAGATGCTGGTTTTAAAGTATCCTGCCTTGAGGAAGTCCTCAGAGGCTCATTTGAGCTTTAAGCGATTCTGTGCATATAGCCTCTTGGCAGGTTGTACTTGGCATGTCTCCTTACCAGGGAAGGGTGAGTCACTGGGGTGGAGTGGGGTCCTGATGAATTTAAAGCCAGCTTCCTCTGTCATCACCATCACAGAGCTGCTTCCTTAGGCATTTTAATCTTATCTCTCTTTTCTGACCTCATTCTCCAGGGTTAAAATAGCCTAGCATGGTGCATGGGAGCTCTGGTGGTGTAGACTGTAGGAAATTGCACTGCTAACCTGAAGATTGCCTCTCTGGTGATTCAGATGCACTAGCTGCTCTGCAGGAGATAGATGAGCAATCTTCTTCGTATAGTTCACAGCCTCCCGAAAACTCGCTCGAGTGTCAGCTCTGAGTCTATTCAGACTTGATGGCAGTCGATGACGACGATGATGATGAGTATGCTGCAGAGGGTGGAGGGGGTTGTTACCAAATTCGGTCTATGATGGATGGCATATATGACCATCTCTTTTAAGAAGGAGGGGTATATATCTTATTGTTGGTAACCTGTATATATGAAAATACATTTTTAAGTTAACATGTAATCTTTCTAGCCCCTAAAGACACATAAAGATTAGATTTATAAAGATACTGTTTAAAAAAGAGCAGTAACAAAAACTAAAGACAATCAAGTATTTGGCATGTCAGATCTGACTTACGACAGTTATTGGAGGGGAGCCCTGTTGTAAATTGAAGATTACTTGGAGTTATTATTTAGGGGCATTATTATGAGCTGCTTAGTCATGCCCAGAGGGGCTGCTGCTGAGGGCAGAAGACCCCCCAGGGAGCCAGGATACACTGTCATGGGGATCAGAGCAGGGACAGCCTCAGTTCTCCATGGCAATGAGGGGAAAGTGTGTGGTTCCATCAGTAGAATGTTGACATTGCTTCACAAGGGGGATGTGGTGTTTGAACCTGTGTATTTTGGGATGGTAGAGGATAGTGTAAGGTTCATATCTATTGTTCCTAGAGTTGCTTGAGTTATAGTTGACTCGAAAGCACCTAACAGCAATAGTAACAACAACAACAACAACAACAACAACAACAACAGCATTTTGCTCTGATTCAAAACAAGTTTTCCCAAGATAGTTTCGGCTTTTTACAAGTGAGGAAGACTGGGACTTTGACTCTTGTCAGTCCCTGTTGCCTTTAAGTAGTAGTTTACACTGATGGGAAATGGAGATAGGACATTTACTGCTTGTCCTTTTTTTTTTTTAAAGAGTTCAATATTTTAAAAAAATTAAACATGTTACAAAAGGAGTTTAGTTAAAAAGACCAAATCCCATGTCATCATCAGACTCTTGAGATTCTTCTCTCTTAGCTTCTACTTTCTTCTTCTCAGCTGGAGCAGCAGCAGTGGAGGCGGTGAAACCTCTGGCCAGTGTGGCCCCAGCTGCTGTGGCACCCACATTGCAAGTGAGGCTCCCAACGTTGACATTTGCCAGGGCCTTTGCAAACAGGCCAGACCAGAAGGGTTCAATGTTGACACCGGCTGTCTTAATGAGGGCATTAATTTTATCCTTCGTGACTGTCACCTCATCATCTTTCAGGATGAGGGCCGAGTAGATGCAGGTGAGCTCAGAGACAGAGGCTGTCGTGCAATGGTGCTAGGCTCACAGCTGCCAGGCATGGTGCTAGTTGCTGGATGATGTGAGGGCCTCACCCCAACATGGCCTTAGCTTCCTTGGAAGAACCAAGCCCCTTAGCAGCAACTGAGGGAAGGGCTCCTGCTTGTCTTTGTGCATAAGACATTGTTGTCAACACCTTGTGCTTTGCTTACTTATTGCAGTATAGTTAACCAAGCCAGGAGATCCTAAGTGAATCAAACAGTTAACTCAAATGCTAACTGATGGTTAGAGTCTAAATTACCCAGAAGTGCCTCATAAGAAGGACCTAGAGTTCTCCTCCCTATTGATTGTTGTTATGTGCCATCAAGTCAGAGCTAATTCCCCAGTGGGTTTTCAGAGGCTGTAAATCACTTGGGAGGAGATTGCCTGTCTCTTCCCCACAGAGCAGCTGGTGGCCCCAAACCTGTGTCTGAATTGACTCCTTAGCACTAGGCCACTGGAACTCTCCCCTAATTGCTCCCTAATTAGCCATTGAGAACTCTGTGGACTGCAGTTCGACATGTATGGGCTTGCCTTGCACAGAATCGATTTAATAGCAACCCGTTTTCACAATCAGCCTAAAACATAGTCACCTAAAGCAGCGGTCGTTCTATTCAGTTAGGATCCCGAGGGTCACTGGCTTTGGTCAGACTCACTTGGATGGTTCAGGTCTAGGATTTTTTTTGTCTAGAATTTTGTGTAGGATTATTTCATGAAGCTCCAGCCATATAGGAATTCAAAATGGTGATTTGGTTTAACATGGCCTGTGTCATGTGTCTGTGGGGTGACGCTAGCAGCTTCACTGGGCCTCTCCTCTCATGTTCTCTCATCCTCAAAGAGGGAAGCTTACACTTCTCGTCATCATAGTACTGTGTTCTGAGGAGTCAAAAGGTGTGCTGAGTCTCCTTTTCTCCTTCCAGGTTCTCTGTCCTAAGGTGGTTTCCTTACTACATGCTGTGTAAGTTTTAGACACTTAGCTTAATAATCTAGGGAGACCCTGGGCATCTCTTTGCCCCGTGATGTCCCTCTGATCTGTCCAGACTCCCAGCTTCATTTACTCAAATCAAGGATGGAATCCCCTCCATTTGCTGCAGCCTAGAAACTGTTTCCGGCAGTCTGCTGGGACACTTACAGGACTCACCCTGTTTGCCTCCCATTTCTCATGAAATTTACTTGCTGAACACCATCCTTTCATACATGTTGTCCAGTTTTCCAGTTGTTTCAGGCAGGGGAATAAATCTGTCTTTCTCCATTTTTGCTGAAAGTGGAAGTGTAAGGAGGATGAAAGTAGGAATAAAGCTTATTGAGGCCTAAGCATCGAATTTGCCTCCTTAGTCAAAACAAGGCTGAGGTCAGCCCAAAATCAAGGGTTCACGGGGTGGAGCTTTAAACCAAACCATTGCTGGGAGTGGTCATACCACATTGCAAACGGATATGTAGGAGAAATTATTGCTGCCTTACTTGTTAGCCCTCTACTCCTCCATTTCTTAAATCTATCCTTTTAACTCTTCTGTGAGCATTAGTTTTTAGATATGTTTCCTTTTTAAAAAATTTTTTTCTTCTATGTTGGTTTGCTTATAAAGTTTGTATACATTGGGTTTTACACTATTCCTTCACATTGTATTTCATAGTCATTCCATTTGACTCTGCCCATCATTACCCTGTCTTTTCAGGAACCCGCTATATCTTTCCCATTTCCTTTATTTCTTCCCTCTATTATGCAAAGGCATTTGACTGTGTGGATCATAACAAACTGTGGCTGACTCTGAGAAGAATGGGAATCCCAGAACACTTGATCGTGCTAATGCGAAACCTATACTTAGACCAAAAGGCAGTTGTCAGAACAGAGCAGGGCAACACTGCCTGGTTCAAAATTGGGAAGGGCATACGCCAGAGATGTGTCCTATCTGCATACCTTTTCAACCTGTATGCAGAGAAGATTATCCGAGAGGCTGGGCTCTATGAGGAGAAGCGTGGAGTTAGGATTGGTGGAAGATCTATCAACAATCTGCGTTATGCAGATGACACAACCCTGCTCGCTGAAACTGAGCAGGACCTCATGCACTTACTGCAGAGGGTCAAGGACTGCAGCCTTCAGTATGGACTGAGGCTCAATGTCAAGAAGACAAAGATTCTCACCACTGGACCAATTGGTAGCATTGGGGTGGATGGCGAAGAGATTGAGATTGTTCACAGCTTCAGTTTGCTCAGCTCCACGGTCAACACTCTTGGCACCAGCAGCCAGGAAATCAAAAAACATATTGCGATGGGAAAGTCTGCTGTTAGGGACCTCTGTAAAGTACTCAAGAGAAACGTGTCTGTCTGGAGACTAAGGTCCGCGTGATACAGGCCATGGTTTTTGCAATCACTTGTTTGCATCAGAGAGTTGGACAATGACTAGGGAGGATAGAAGGAATTGACGCCTTTGAACTGTGGTGCTGGAGAAGAATATTGAATGTACCATGGACTGCCAAGAAAACAAGCAGATTCATCCTAGAGAGGGTTAAACCATGCTACTACTTGGAGGCAAGGATTCTGGGGCTTCGCCTGACATACTTTGGACATGTTGTAAGGAGAGACAGGTCTTTAGAGAGGGACATCATACTGGGTAGAGTAGAGGGACAGCGCAGGAGGGGAAGACCCTCTATGAGGTGGATTGATTCAGTGACTGGGGTAATTGGGATGGGTGTGTCAGAGGCAATGCGATTGGTACAGGATAGAGCAGGGTTTAGGGCTGTTGTACATAGGGTCGCTATGAGTCGCAAACGACTTGACGGCACGTAACAACAACAACAACCACCACCCACCAAAAACAAATAAACATACCACCATTGAAACAACCCTAACGTCCAACCACAGCTAAATGGATTGATAAATTGTGAGACATTCGCACAATGGAATATTATGAAGCACTCAGGAGCAACAATTTTGAAAAATCACTGCATAATTTGGGAGAGACTGGAGAGCATTATGCTGATTGAACTAACTCAGTCATATGAGGACAAATACTGCTTAAAATCATTGTTGTAAAAATAGTAGGTATGTTTCTTATGAAAAAATATTGTTGTTTTCATGTGCCATTGAGTCAATAATGACTTGTAGGTACTCTTCAAAACTGCCAACAGAGTTTGCTAGCCTATAATCCTTACAAGAGCAGATGATTGGATCTTTTCCCTCAAGGAGAGGCTCATCTCTTTGACCCATGACCTTTTGGTTAGCAACTGAGTACTTAACTTTTTTGCACCACCAGGGTTGTAAACAGAGGCACTGGAGAAAAATGTAGATTTTCACCTTTAAATTTTTGATGGTAAGTTCATTGGATAAAAATAATTAGAATTTTCTATGTATTTGGATTTCTTTCTACTGTTTGGTGTTTTCCATTTATCCTGCCCTTTCTATACTGATTTGCTCTTTTTAAATACTTTGCATTTTCCTTATACTCTTTCTCTACAGATTTGAAAATATTTTATATTTTTTAAGTTGTTGTCCTTAAAATGTTAGTAGACATACTTGTATTAACATAGCTATCTTTTAATTTCTCAAAATAACAAGCTAAAAATCCCCCAAAACCCATACAAGCACACAACCAAAAATAAAACATGAGAAACTTGAGATATTTTCACACAGACCCTCTGCCTTCTGATTTAAATGTTTTTGTTTTTATGTCCCCTGGGGACATGATAAGGAGTCCTGGTGACTCTTTAAGTTAATCATTAGCCTGCTAAGGGAGAATTTGGTTATTGGAGCCTATCAGCTTACTCTGTGGCAGGAAGCTAAGGCATTTGACTTCTGTAAAGATTGATGTTTTGTTGTTGTGTATCATAGAGTTGGAAAAGACCCATAGCTGACCCTCTGGCAGGTTTTCAGAGGCAGTTAATCACACAGGAGCAGATTGCCCATCCTTATCCTGGAGAGTGGTTGGTGCCTTTCAAACCTGGTGTCTCCAGGGACTGCAGCACAGCTTCTTGGCCCTAGGCCACAGGAAACTTTTTGGAGCAGTTGTACTCTGTCCTATAGGGTCGCTCTCTGCATCAGAGTCAACTTGATGGCAGTAAACGGGGAGGGGGCATATTAGTTGATATTTCACTGACACCTTTGAAATTAAGCATTGTCATGTCATTCTTTGATCAATCAAATCTCAGCAGAAGTGATGTCCCATCTGGAAGAAAGCTTAGCAAGTGTGTACTTTCCCATGTGAACTTTGGTGCTTGTTAAAGAAGGTTTGAGATGATACTTGTAATTGCCTTGGGTCCTTGTGGAGCTCCAGTGAGAAGAGTCCCCCTGGTTACCTCTGAAGGACATTTAACATAAATGAGAAATAGACATTTCTTGTTTACCACTCAAGAGATGTTGGGGCTACTTATTACCAGGGCATAAGGTAGTCACTCTGACAGATACACTACTGATCCTCCAAATTCATCATCATTATTGTCGCTTTATATAATTAGTGGTTATTCAGAATGACATTTACCATTCCTATTTCCTCACCCTTCCTTCATCCATATCAATTCTTTCCTCTAGATGCATTTTCTTTTTTCTTGTTTGCTAATTTCTATGTTGTAAATACTCTCCGTGCAGCTGATTGTAAGTTACCAACATGTTGTCAGCTGGCTTGCAAACTTTCTAGAAAGTTAGCATTGAATTCTCATAAGCCAGTGCGAGCACATGACAGTTTCAGAGTACGATAGTGGTGCATGCCAGCTAAGTCCTCAACCGCTTAGCTGAAAGGTTGGAAGACGGAAGCCCCGCAGCTCTGTAGAATATAGACCTGCCAATTCACTTCCACAGAGATTATAGCATTGTAAACTCTAAGCTTTCTACTCCATGCTGTATTGAAGTAATTATGGTCAGGATAGTTTTGATAGTTCCCATCAAGATGTTAGTGGTAAACACTGTGCTTGAATATGACTTTATTTCATCCTTATTCCTGAATGATAGGGTAACAGGAAGTAAAATTTTAGGTTATATTCTCTTCATACCGTCAAGCTGAAATAATATTGTTCACTGGAGTTCCTGAAGGGTGTAGATGATTAAACACATGGCTGCTATCTTAGGCTAGTTTCTCCCAAACCTAGGCTAAGAAAGGTAGGCATGTAAAGCTTGTGTATGTCTGCCCATATATCTGTCTTTATCCATCTATCTGTATTTATCTGGTGGCACAATCTGTGGCATTTTGTATTGCTAACCAAAAAGTTACATCTCCAGTGGTGCAAATTTAGCAACACCTTTGAAAGAGAAAGATGAGTCATCCTTGTTAAGATTTACAGCCTGATGCAAATCAGAAACCTGATGGAGGGTTTCTATGAGTCAGAATTGACTCAATGGCAGTGATTGATATATGTGTATATATGGATGTATATGTATGTGTGTGTGTGTGTGTGTGGAATGAGAGAGGAGAGCAAGAGTGAGAGCGAGATTGATTTATTGCAAATAAATTGCTCATGAGATCATAGAGGCTAACAAGTCCCAAGTCCATGGGTCAGAAATCAGACTAGAGGCTTCTCTTAACACATGTAGCTGCAGAAACTCTGAAATCCAACATCAGGAGTTCACGGGCTGCAGAGGGGAATGGGTTGTCAGACAGTATGACAGGCTGCTGGCCCACATCCCGAGAACTGGAGATCATATGTTGAGAGCCAAATCCAGGGGCATGGGGAGAAGTACAGAGCTTTGACAGAATATTCATATATATTCAAGGAAGGCTGCATCCCCAAGGATAAGGAGCTCTCATGGCTTAGTGGTAAAAGAGTTATGCTGCCAACCCAAAAGCAGGTAGTTTGAATCCATCAGTTACTCTGAGGGAGAAAGATGGACAGTCTCCTTCTATGCAAATTACTGCGTTTGAAAACCCACAGGAGGATCAACTATGAGTTCAGTTTGATGGCACGCAACAACAGTAGCATTTGATACAGGCTACTCCCCCCAAGGAGGATAAGACCTTTCAACTGATTGTTCCTCCAGAGCAAATATGTGTTTGTTTATGCCTGGTCTCACCTTTGGATCATTTAAACTTTTCCATCTTGAGGTTCCTTACCCTTTAGACACTTTAAAATGAGCTTAAAACCGTGAAGTTCCATGTTCCATGAAGATGGAACTATAGTAACCGTTTCTCTGGAGAAACTAGCTGCTTCTTAGCCTGAGTATAGCTCTAGGGTCA